ATGCTGCTGCTAATCCTATCTAATAAAAGAGAAACATGGTGATTAGCATACATCCGCTACCCTTCCCATTGGCGAATCAGCGAGATATGAAAATTAATCACCAGCCAAGATGGCGGCTAATTTGCATATGTCGGCACCAAGCAATGGAACAAAGCCCATTGGCCCTGGGTAGGAGCAGCCCTCCGTGCCACCGCCACCGGGATCCACCCCCGGGAGCTGAGCCTGGCGGCAGGAGTGGAGAACGAAGCCCACCGTGAGGGTCTCTACGGGCGAAGAGAAGAGCAAAGGCCTGGGTTCTTGCCACTGAAGAAAAACTGGTGCCAGCAGCCAGGGGATGGGGCCCTCAACTGCAAGAAGGCACAAGTTGGGCTTAGGCGGCCGCTTCTCTGCCCCACACCTGGCTTCTGTGGTGATCAATCAGTGACCCGCAGAAGCCCGGTGCAGCGGCAGGGAACTTTGTGCAGGTAGAGAAATGAAGAGGGGACGTACTTGCCCAAGATGACACGGGCGGTGGGAACTGGAAGGAACCTGGGCTCTGGAGTTAAAATCATCTGGATTCTCTGACTGCCCTCCCTGGAAGCACAGAAGAAGAAGAAGCCCCCAGAAGAAGAAGCCGCCCACCTTTGGTCCAAGCGCCAGCACCTGGGGCTGGCTGCAGCCCAGGAGACGGACGAGCTACCCGCCCAAGGTCCCAGACTGCAGCCACCCAGAGAACCTGCCAGCCCTGTGGTCCAGGGCGCCAGCGCCCATGGCCAGGGAAACAGGTTCCCTCTTCTCCAACTGCAGTCATTACTTCAATATTCCCCTTCTGAATTTCTCTCCTGTGCTGCAACCCAGCTCCACTTTTCATCAGAGAGAGCAGTGTTAAAAGCTTACATTTTTAAGCTGGTAAAGTTGGTACTTAAACATATAAATGGAAAACTAGAGTCCTCCTTAAGGTCACTAAGGCTACAAAGGACAGGGACAGCGCATGACCTATTATATCCAGCAATCCATATGGGGACTGAAAACTTTGCAATGATGACAATTACTGAAGATATGAATCAACTAAAATAGTTGACAGGGACAATTCTTCCATCTTTGAAAATATCTACATCAAATCTGTTTAAATAGATTTTCATCTGCATAATATAACACATTCTGACAAGACCACCACCACCGCCACCAATGTGGTCAGTCAGTGTTGTGCAGATAAATGTTTAATAACTGAGGGGACCCCCCCCCCCGAGTGCACAAATTTTGTGCACCGGGCTACTAGTATATAGATAATTGAACTTGTTATACATGTACCATGCATAGGCAACCCCTGCCATCTGTAAACTGTAGCAAGCTCTAACTAACCATGTTTGACCTTGTGACCCAAGTGGCAATTGTGGACAACTGATAACATATAAACAAAAATGGTGTCAAGAATTCCTTGTTGAGATTAACTATTAACGAAGAATATAGAATTAGTGTCCTTGTTTGCTCTAAGGACACCTTTTCTTATTGGATTTGCGAGCGAACAATACACAGGACTGGAAGAAATGTAATGTTTTTTATTAAAGTCCTCTCTTTTCTAGGGTGACAACGTGTTGATTAATACCTATAGTGGTGTTCTCAAGATCTCTGACTTCGGCACATCAAAGAGGCTTGCTGGCATAAACCCAAGCACTGAAACTTTTACTGGTATGTTTTTGCAATGATGATACAGATCTTATGTAATTAAAGACATAATTGCTGCGTTTGAACATAATGTAAGAGATAAATTTAGTTGTTCTCACAAATATTAATGTTGATATCTTTTGATGATTACTGAAAAATGATATACAGAAGTTGATCTGACCCTTTTCTCGTCTTATATTTATATGACCTATTCAATCTCCTTGCTTAATAAGATTTTTTTTAACTCTTCACTTGTTTGTTTTTCTTTTCATGTCATTACTTCTCTCCTGTTTGGCCTACAATCAATATAATCCTGACAAGATTTTTTTAAAAACATTTTTCAGCCTAACCTCTCTGTGATTCTTACTCATACCTTAATCACTTCCCATGTGGACTATGAATTCCCTCTTTTCTAATCTGTTTACTCTCTGTGATGCATTCCCCTGCTCACAACATAAATAACTGCAGGATTTCAGTCCCTTTCAATCCTGAAAGAGGAAGTGACTCACCAACCCAGAAGTGGGGAGGGGAGAGAGCTTTCCTCAGAGGTTAGGCAATGCCTCTAGAGCAAAGTCCTGGGAGGGAGGAGACACAGGGGTTCTAAAAAGGCAACAGTGGCCAAGAGGGACCCGAGGCTCAGAGAGATTCATGACTGCCCAGCAGTCACCAGGAGGGCATCCGAAACTTCAGCCCTGCTCTCCGTTCCAAGCTCTTAGCACTTCATTCTGCTATTTCTCAGGAAGTATTATTATTAGAGAAAGATTTAGGAGGGAAAAAAGATAATGAATTAAGCAACATGGCCAGATGTCCCCATTTCTTAGTTCTGTGAGGTAGGTGGTAGTACCTCCATTTTGCAGATGAGGAAATTGAGAGAAAAGGGACATCAAAGTCACAACAGTTTATAAATGATAAGGTCAGGTTTCTTTTTAATCTACCCTTTGCTCTCTGCTTTGGCCTTCTTGCGTCAGTCAGTATTTCTCTCCACCTTGCTGAAGTATCTATTCTGGAAGCCTGGAAGGGGGAAAAGAGAGAAATTCCGTATGCTTTCTCCTCAGAACACCCCATCAGCGACACCTCTGGCCTAGTTCCTACTCTCACAGCAATGGGAATTTCAGGGTAAAGAGTTAAACACATTTAGAATGCATTTTCTTTTCTTTTTTTTTTTTCAAAATAGGTTCTAATTTATTAGTAATTTCAGATGCCTTTATGTTTCTTTTCTCATTCTGTATCAGTTTGGCAAGAGACATTTTAAATGCTTCTAAGACTCAGTAACTTCTGAGAGGAAAATCCCTACTTTCAGACACTTTATTTGGACGAGATGTTACTTGAATATCTCCTGATAATCTTGAAAACATTTTTTGTTAGCTCTCAAAGGAGTTCTAGTAAAGTGGTCATCCAGGGCCCTGTGCTTGTACTTCTCTCAGTGGCCTCACGTGGAGACACGTGTGATTAATGTGCTGAGTCTGTCTGCAGTGCTGGTCAGGAGGGCCTGGGTGTGCGGACCTGGATTCTCGGCCGTAGGCCTTGGAACTAGCCACGTCCCCGGCGCTTAGTCAGCCTCTGATGAACTGCGCTGAAAGACCTCGGTCCATTTCACTGCCTGGTCATGTGATGAGAGGGAAGGCAGTAGCGACCACCATCTATAGAGTGTATACCCAACTGTGCTAAGTGCTTTATATATGTTACTTCACTGAAATTCATATATCAGCCCTAATCCTTAGGTATCATTATCCCAGTTTAGGGTGAGAAAATGAAGGTTCAAGGAGGTTAAGTAGCTTGCCCAAGGTCACAAAGCTAGCCAGTCATAGAGCTATGGTTCAAACCAGACGTAACATGCCGAATGGAATTAACTTCTCCCCAGACCTGTTCCACCCACACTTTTCCCCATCGCAGTTAATGGCCACTCCAAACTTAGAATTATCCGTGGCGCTTCTCTTTTCTCACACTCCCACCCAATCCATCAGGGAAACCTATTGGCTCTACCTTCAGAGTATGTCCAAAATTGGAACAGTTCCTCACTGCCTCCACTGCTACCACCCGCGTTTCTCACCTGCGTTACCTCAATAACCTTTTCTCCCTGCCTCCTCTCTTGCCCCCTATGTCCATTCTCAACCCCAGTCCTATCACTCAGAGACCGCAATGGCTTGCTACTTCTTTCACAGCAAACAAACGCCAAAGCCCTTACAATGGTGGACAGTTTGGAATTCGTCACCTTTTAGACCTCATTTCCTCTTCTTCCCCGCTTGCTCACTCTGTCCCAGAAACTTAGGCCTTTCCTTCATTGCGCTGAAGGGCCTTTGCACAAGCTTTTCCTGCTGCTACAACACTCTTCTCCCAGCCATCTGCATGGCAGAGTCCCTCTCCTCCTTCAGGTCTTACCTCAGATGTCATCTCGGTGAGGATCTCCCTATTTGCTTGGCAGCCCTCCCTGGGCACATCTGCTACCCTTTTCTTACTCTTGTTTTTTTTTGGGGGGGGGTTTGTCATAAATCATAACTTTCTAACATACTATACAACTTACTTGTTTATTATGCTGTAGTTTATTGTCTGTCTCCCACTGCAAAAACGTCAGCTCCACAAGCACAGAGATCTCTGTCTGTTTACTCTGCAGCTATATTCTAAATGCCTGGAACAGTGCCCGGCCCACGGTAGGCCCTTAATCTGGAACTGCTGGACATATGGTTGAAAGGACACAGTGTGATGTCAAAATTGAAACCTGTAGCTACTAAGCTGTAGTGGCTCTCCAGACTGGCTTGCAGCTGCGTTACCCAGCTCTGTAAATCTCTTCATATAAAATATTAGGTGTCATGTGCTTGTGGAGTGAAGGGAACAGATATGAACACATGACCAAACCTGTTTTTATTGCCACTTGCTCAATGAGGGATAATTAAACACAATTGGCAGGTAGCGCTCTTTGAAATATCTGATGAATAAAAACATTGCATAATTTATTATTAAGATATTACTTGAATTGTCCAGTTCTTTTCTATTCATATACTGTTGATCAGTTGTGATGCCTACCACAATGTTAAAACAACTCAGATTCTCTCAGTAATTCTATTTTAGACCCAGAGACAACAGAAAGGAGCAGTAGGCTTCAACACATATTTTTTAAAGACCACTTGATTTAATTTACATCATAAAACACGATCACTTTGGGGAAAGCTATAAACGAAGATAAATCACAGTACTTTTCTCCTAAGCATAGGTGACTGGAGGAGTGTGGTTTCCTGATCCTTGGCCAGGTGAAATGCTTCCATCCAGGAATTTTGCTGATTTAAGCTGAGAGCAGACATGTGCAGGTGTATGTGAACATGAACTTGAGCTACTGCTATGTAATGATGAGGTCTGGAGGATAAACCCGCCAAGATAACAATACTAAATTAATTGACAAAATTAATAGACTTTATTTATTTTTATGACAACAGCCAGCTTCTAGCTCATGACAGTAGCTTTCATAAGAACAACTTAGAGAAATTTTGCATAGCAGTTTTCACCTACAAATCATGCACAAGGCATTTGTAAAAGGTGGTGTCTGTATTTATCAAAATGTCTATCATTGGTTATGAATCAGAAAAGACTGAAGTAGCACTTTTGGCAAATGCCTCAAGATTTGAAATAATTCAAGATGGCATCGTGGAGGAGTTCCTATTTGCTGATTATACCATTTGTATGAATATATCAGAAGCAGGGGATGTGGCAATAATCTGTTTCTCTTCCCATTCTGTCCTCATTGCTCGACTTCGGGGAATCACTGCAGCAGGCGCTAGAAACACAAATCCTGCCTCTCACTTGAGCCAATGATACAACTGCAGTTGAGTGTTTATCAGAGACATACCAGACCACAACTAGAACCACGGGATCTTGGCTCCCCCACTTAATTCTCCTTCCATCATATTGCATTCTTCAACTCTCTGATTCTTTATATAAAATATCCTCTCTTCTTTTTTTTCATTTTATTCTTCACTCTGTACCTGGTGATTTCTCTGTACTGATGGCTCATAGCCTGTCTTTGACCTGTTAAACCCATTATTCCTTGGACCACAGGCACATAGCAGAAGTCCTAAACATTTGATTTATAGATTTACATTATTTTTGACAATACCTTTTAGAATCTGCATGCTTAAATGATTTAGAAATAAGAAAGAAAACAGAAGAACTAAGCATTCAAATCAGGAATTGAGAAATCTAAATCTAAGGAAATTGATGAATGACCTAGACTTTTCTTGGAAAAGATTGGAAGTATTCATAATGAGAGTTTTCATAATGTGCTTCAAAAACAGATTTTAGAAAACGTGTGTTGGTGTATTCTCTGTTGTTCTCAAATGACCAGTTGTTAGAAGTTTCTAAGAGGTCTTAATGAAATAATGCCTTAATTATACTATTTAAGAAATGAGAACATATCTGTTCATATCCAGGTAATATTGGTAAACTATTTTCACCTCGCTAATAAAATCCATTATAAAAACTGCTATTTTCTCTTATATTCATAGCAGAGAAAAACTGGAATTCAAAAAGGATGCAGTATTAAGACCTGAATCATATTTTTAAAGTGCCTTATTTATGTAGAGGAATTGAAACTGTCATTAGATGTTCTCTTTTGAAGTAGGATTGTGTTTGTACTCTTCCCAGGTACCCTTCAGTACATGGCACCAGAAATAAAAGCCAAAGGACTCAGAGGCT